GGCTCAGGACTCGCAGATTGGTGCCAGTTTGGTGTAGTGGTTAGGTGCGTGGACTCTAATCTGGGAGAACCGGGTTTGATTCCCCACTCCTCCACTGGCACCTGCTGGATGACCTTGGGCAAGCCATAGTTCTTGTCAGAGCTGTTCTTGAAAAAGAGCCGTTTCTGTCAGAGCTCTCTCAGCCCCACCTACCTCACAAGGTGTCTGTTGTGGGGAAGGGAAAGGAGTTTGTAAGCTGCTCTGAGACTCCCTTGGGTAGTGAAGGGCGGGGTATAAATCCAATCTCTTCTTCTCTTCTTTCCTTCCAGGTTCTGAAGCCTTGCCTCTGTGTCTCCTGCTGCCCAGCGCCTGGTCAACACGAGGACAGTTTCCTGCCTTGAGCGCCTCTGGCTATCGTCTCATGCCCTACTTGGGGGCTTCTCTGAGGCATCTGACTGGCCAGTGCTGGAAACAGAATACTATCGGGACTAGATGGATCATGGATCTGACCAAGCACGGCTACCCTTCATGCTTGCTGTAAGAATGAAATGGAAGAGGGAGGGGTGAATCAGAGGGTTAGGGTTAGGGAAATACTTGAATGTTCTGGAGGCTGGGAACCCTGAGGTATGCTGTTCTATTACAGAGTTGCCAACTGCCTGGAAGGGGGAAAAAAGTCCATTCCCTTTAATAGAAGTTTAATAGGGTGCTATTTATCAGATGCTATTATTAACTTACATGCAGTCATATGTACAAGACCTGGAGCTTACTGTGGCTACTCATTGCAACATTCAGCCTTAAACTGAAGGAAGTTGGGAAAACCACTAGGCCATCCAGGTTTGACCTAGATCACATCCATGATGAATATACAGTGGAAGTGAAGAATAGGTTTAAGGGACTAGATTTGATAGTCAGAGTGCCTGAAGAACTATGGGCGGAGGTTCACGACATTGTACAGGAGGCAGCAATCAGCACCATCCCAAAGGAGGGGGGGAAAAAAATAAGACAGCAAAGTGGCTGTCTGATGAGGCTTTACAAAAAGCTGAGGAAAGGAGGAAAGCGAAAGGCAAAGGTGAAAAGGAAAGATTTACACAACTGAATGCAGATTTCCATAAAACAGCAAGGAGAGATAAGGAGGCCTTCCTGAATGAACAATGCAAAGTAATAGAGGAAAACAATAGAATGGGAAGCAATGTTCCCTCTAAGCTGTGGAGTCTTGTGAGCAAAAATTCTACTTTGTGAGCAACTGGCATCAAACTTGTGAGCAAGTAGTTTGGCTGCTGCATAAATTAGGTTACTCTGGAGCCATCCCTTCCTGAGCGAAGACAAAAATGTGTGAGCCAGAGGCTAAAAAACTGTGAGCTAGCTCACACTAACTCAGCTTAGAGGGAACACTGATGGGAAGGACTAGAGATCTCTTCAAGAAAACTAAAGAAATCAAGGGAACATTTCGTGCAAAGCTGGCCATGATAAAGGACAAAAATGGTAGGGATCGAACAGAAGCAGAAGAGATTAGGAAGAGGTGGCAAGAGTACACAGAAGAACTATACAAGAAGGACCTCAATGTCCTTGACAACCACGACGGTGTGATCGCTGACCTCGAGCCAGACATCCAGGAGTGCAAAGTCAAATGGGCCTTGGAAAGCATTACTAACAACAAAGCTAGCGGAGATGACGGTATCCCAGGTGAGCTATTCAAAGTCCTAAAAGATGATGCTGTTAAAGTGCTGCACTCCATATGCCAGCAACTTTGGAAAACACAACAGTGGCCACAGGATTGGAAAAGGTCAATTTACATTCCAGTCCCAAAGAAGGGCAATGCCAAGGAATGTTCAAGCTATCACGCAATTATACTCATTTCACACGCTAGCAAGGTCATTCTCAAGATCCTACAAGCTAGACTTCAGCAGTATGTGGATAGAGAACTGCCAGAAGTACAAACTGGGTTTCGAAGAGGTAGAGGAATGAGAGATCAAACTGCCAATATTCACTGAATTACGGAGAAAGCAAGGGAGTACAAGAAAAACATCTACTTCTGCTTCATTGACTATGCTAGAGCCTTTGATTGTGTAGATCACAACAAACTGTGGCAAGTCCTTAAAGAGATGGGAGTACCAGACCACCTCACATGTCTCTTGAGAAACCTGTATAAGGGTCAAGGAGCAACAGTTAGAACTGGACATGGTTTAGAATAGGAAAAGGAGAACTGCAAGGATGTATATTGTCAGCCTGCTTATTTAATTTATATGCAGAGCACATCATGCGAAATGCCAGCCTGGGTGAATCACAAGCCAAAATTAAGACTGCCGGGAAAAACATCAACAACCTCAGATATGCAAACGATATCACTCTAATGGCAGAAAGTGAACAGGACCTAAAGAGTCTCTCGCTAAGGATGAAAGAGGGAAGCACAAAAGTTGACTTGAAACTCAACATCAAAACGAAGATCATGGCATCCAGCCCCATCACTCCTTGGGAAACAGAAGGGGAAGTCATGGAAGCAGTGACAGAATTTACATACCTGGGATCCAAGATCACTGCAGACATGAAATTAAAAGCAGCCTGCTGCTTGGGAGGAAAGCTATGAAAAACCTAGACAGCATAATAAAAAGTAGAGACATCATCCTGCCAACAAAATCCGCATAGTCAAAGTGATGGCATTCCCAGTAGTAATGTATGGTTGTGAGAGTTGGACCATAAGAAAGGCCAAGCGCCGAAGAATAAATGCTTTTGAATTATGGTGCTGGAGAAGACTCTTGAGAGTCCCTTGGACTGCAAGGAGATCAAATCAGTCAATCCTAATGGAAATCAACCCTGACTTATCCCTGGAAGGCCGGATCCTGAAGCTGAAATACTTTGGCCACCACATGAGAAGGGAGCACTCACTGGAGAAGACCCTGATGCTGGGAAAGATTGAAGGTAACAGAAGAAGGGGACAGCAAAGGATGAGATGGTTAGACAGTGTTATCAATGCAACGAACATGAAATAAAGCAAATTCCAGAGGATGGTGGAAGACAGGAGGGCCTGGCATGATGTGGTCCATGGGGTCACGAAGCGTTGGACTTGACTGTGCAACTGAAAAACAACAACTTATTAACTTCTATTCCAATGCAAAGCTTTATTTATTTATTTTATTGATTTACTATACCACCCTCCCTGCACAGCCGGCTCAGAGAGGTCTACAACAGTTTAAAACAAGGAAAAATTAGAACAATCAAATATACTATCATAAAAAGATATTTATTTATTTAATTAACCCTGCCCTCCCTGCATGGCAGGCTCAGGGCGAGTTACATCAAATTTGATAAAAATACAATGTATAAAATTAACACAATTAAAACACTAATAAAATACTACAATAACTTTCATCCGGTGCCATTGTCATTGACATTAGAACCTCACAGATGCCATCTCTGGTATGGAGTTCTGACCCGTTGAGGGGAGGCCCAGTAAAGAGGAAGGGAAGTCTGTCGCCCTAAGTTAAAAGCCTGACAGAAGAGCTCCATCTTGCAGGCCCTGCGGCAATGTTCCCTCTAAGCAGTGGAGTCTTGTGAGCAAAAATTCTACTGTGTGAGCTACTGGCATTAAAGTTGTGAGCGAGCGATCTGGCTGCTGCATAAATTAGTTTGCTCTGGAGCCATCCTTCCTGAGCTAAGACAAAAATGTGTGAGCCAGAGGCTAAAAAACTGTGAGCTGGCTCACACTAACTCAGCTTAGAGGGAACACTGCCCTGCGGAACTGTAAAAGGTCCTGCAGGGCCCTGATCTCGTATGGGAGCTCATTCCACCACGTAGGGGCCAGGGCTGAAAAGGCCCTGGCCCTAGTCAAGGTTAGACAGATGTCCCTGGGGCCAGGGGCCATGAGAAGATGTTGATTGGCAGATCGTAAAGCCCTTCGGGGCTCATAGAAGGAGAGGCGGTCTCCAGATGTGCAGGCCCCTGGCCGTATAGGGCTTTAAAGGTAAGCACCAACACCTTGAACTGGATCAGGTACTCAATAGGCAGCCAGTGCAGTTCGCGTAGCACCGGGCTGATGTGGGCCGGCACAGGCAGCGTCATCAGTACCCATGCTGCTGTGTTCCACACCAGCTGCAGTTTCCGGAGCAGAATCAAGGGCAGCTCCATGTAGAATTACAGTAATCTAATCTGGAAGTGAGCATTGCATGGGTCACTGTAGCCAGATCGCAGGGAGTGAGATATGGGGCCAACTGCCTGATCTGTCTCAGACGCAAGAAGGTAGACCTGGCAGTGGCGGCAACCTGGGCCTCCATAATTAGTGAGGCATCCAGGAATACCCACAGGCTTTTCACCTTCGGCACCAGTACCAACCAATGTTCCCTCTAAGCTGTGGAGTCGTGTGAGCAAAACCTCTACTTTGTGAGCTACTGGCATTAAAGTTGTGAGCGAGCAATCTGGCTATTGCATAAATCAGTTTGCTCTGGGGCCATCCTTCCTGAGCGAAGGCAAAAATCTGTGAGCCGGAGGCTAAAAAACTGTGAGCTAGCTCACACCAACTCAGCTTAGAGGGAACACTGGTACCAACAGGGTCCCATCAAAGGTTGGAAGCCCGATCCCAATCCCCCTCGACCCAGGTACAGGACCTCCGTCTTTGATGGATTCCATTTCAATCTGCTCTGTTGTAAGCAACAAATAAAACAAAGCAGATCTGTGGGAGTTTACTGGCCAGAGCAGGGACAGGTGTCTCTTGGAACAGTAGTAGCAGTCTTGTTCTAAGAAGCACGCTTCTCGCGCGTGTTCTCCTCCCTGCATTTCAACAGGGTATTTGTGTGGGCATTGCACGAGCAGCTCCTTCCTCTGACACGCGCACAAGTAATGGAGCTGAGCTGCCGCGGCCGCCCCCCTCGGCTGCCGCCTCCCTTCCTTTCCCTAGTTGCGGCGAGGTGGGTGGGATTCGAACTCACACCCTCGTCCGGGTCACTCGCGCGCGCCTTTCCGCCGCACTGTTGGTTGCCAGGGGAGCCGCTGTTGCTACGGGGGCGTGGCGTGCGCATGCGCGCGCCGCCTAACCTGCCCGGATGTAGCGGGACCGAGGCGCTACCGCCATCTTTGCCCGGAGAGCAGTGAGCTGATCGTGGCTGAGCCCCCCCGCCAGACCCATCGGTCTCCATCCGCCCCGCGCAGCCCCCGCCGCCCTCACTCGCCGGACATGGACGATCGGGAGGACCTCGTCTATCAGGCCAAGCTAGCCGAGCAAGCTGAGCGCTACGATGGTGCGAGGGGGACGCGCGGACGGACCGAAGGCGGGGGGGAGGAGGGAGAGCCCGGGCCCGAGACCACCGCGGCGGCCGGTCTGGGAGGGAGGGAAGACGGGGCGAGGGCTGGCGAGCCGCTCGGGGACTGCCCTGGGTGAGGCCGCCACGGGCCAGGAGGGGTGTGGCGCTGAGGGAGGAGGGCAGAGCGGCACCCGCTTGAAGACCAGGCCTCGGGTCGCCGCCGGTGGGGGGTGGGCAGGCGCCCCCTGGACCTCCGCGCGCGGGAGGAGCCCCGTCCTCCGCATCCCCATGGCCTCCCCGAGCGGCGGGAAGAGCCTCTGGCTGCCAGGGCGCCCTCGAGCAGGGGAGCCATCCTTTCGCGGACCCCCCTCCCCCCCCATGGTGGAGCCTCACACAGCCAAGCCGTCTTGCGCCCGGTTTCCCTTTTCTACTATAGGCGGGTCCGATGCGATCCCTAACCAGGTAAGCTTCCTGGTGGTCCTTAAGCGGCGGTCCTTGGAAGCAAGACCGTGGGGATGGGGGGGGAGGCTGATCGAATGGTGGGCAGGGTGGCCACCCGTGGGAAAGTCACCAAACGGGCTTTATATCGCTGTGTCTTTTCTTTAAAGTCAAGCATCGGAAAACCTCGAGGCCGAGTGAAGTAGGTAGCTGTGAGGCCCCGTGACTTACTGGACGGTCGCGGGGGGAGTAATTCTCACGCCTATGTAATATGGCCAGTTTAAATACTGGAACGCTTCTTAAGCTGTGTGGAACCACTAGGCAAACCAGCGGTCGTGTACACATGAAGCATCCTCACCTTGGTGGAAAGGAAGAGATGTATTAGCTCTCTAGAAAGGGTTCAGATGTCACTTGGTCCATGGAAATGGCCGGTACTGTTTCCCCAGATTTGTAACACACGTCTGCGATTCTCAGATGATAGTACAGCACCACCTTGGAAATTATTAATTTTTTACAGCAATAGAAGTTTAGCAGTGAAATTGGCTGCCTAGGGACAGGGTGACTTCCCCTTCACTAGCATTCTTCAAGCAGTGGACGGATGAACACTTGTCAGGGATGCTTCAGGGTGATTCTGTATTCAGCTGGGGATTGAACTAGATGGCCTGTATGGCCCCTTCCAACTCTATGATCAGAGGGGCAGTGGCTCAGTGGTAGAGTATCTGCTTGGCGTGCAGGAGGTCCTGTGTTCAATCCCCATCACCTCGAGTTAAAAGGATCAGGTGATGTGAAAGAGCTCTATTAAAGACCCTGGACAGCCCCTGCCAGTCTGAGTAGACAATACTGACTTTGACCAGTGGTCTGATTTCAGTACAAGACAGTTTCGTGTGACCCCTGGAGAGAGAACAATGGCTTGTGTTTAAACATGGATTCTTGATATCTCTTCCTGACTGCGATTGGATATAGGGCAGCCTGTGTTTATTTAAAGGTAACTCTCTGCCCTAGTTGGGGTAGTTTGGAATAGGATGGCTATTGGGGGTGTTGCAGTCCTTTTATCCTAGCTTCCTTCTTGCAGTGTTGGCGTGGAGTGCTTGTTAGCATGGAAGTCCTGTCTGCTTACTCCAGGGTCAGAGAAGCCACACTCCTCGGTTAGAGTTTTTAGCTGTTGAAATGTTTTCACCTTTGCCATATTATCTTCAAAGTCGTGTTTGACTTGTGTAGTCTCATCTTGGGGCGGGGAGAAGAAAGGTTGGGCTTCCTGAAATCCTCCCACATTTTGTCTTGAAAATTTCTCAAGTGTGCTCCAGAATGTGCTTGGGTTGGCCTATTTCTGGTTCTTTATTGAATTGCTCAAAATGACAAGCCTTAGAAGGCACATTATATTTCTCTTGTGTGTCACAGAAGATGCACGTAGATATGCTTCCTTATGGAAATTGCCTAAGTAGACACCAGAAGCTGAATATCCTAAGATTTCCATACTTGTTGGCCATTTGGGGGGGGGGGGGAGTGTGTGTAAAGAAATCTCTGGGAGTTCTCACATAGCAGTAGCCTTTCTTTAATTAGAAATCAAAAGTTATCATTTTGAATTGGTGTTGGGGGGATTTGCCGCTCCGTGTGACAGTAGCACAGGATGTATTGAGTTGGTTAATGGGCATATTGCCAGAATACAGACCAGATGATTAGCAGCAGCTGTTGCCTACTAGCACATCTCTGGTGTGTGGGACTTTTGTCATCCTGTACTCTGGTGGAGCTCTCTCATCTCTTCATCTGATAAGAAGAAAATTACTTCATCCTAGGGTGCCTCCTGGTAGACTGGTAACCATGATGACCATATCCTTGGGGGATGGTTAGGTTAACTTTTGATTGACCGGTCAGCTTTATGCTGATTGCAGAGTAACAATCTGTATATGTCCTTTGGAGATAAATCTGTACATTCTGTTCATCAATGGAATTGACTCTTAGGCTTTAGTCAGTAACAGAATGTTAGCTCTTGTCACGCAGAGCAGTCTGTGGACAGCATGTGGTGAAGATGCAGAAACTGGAGGGAGTCTAGGCAGGGCTGGCTTCACTTACCACATGAGACGCTTTAATCTGTGGTTCCCATAGATCCTTGTTCTTACCCTTCTGCCTTCTCCTCTTTTCCTCCAAATTAAGAAGCCTGAATTTTGGAAACAGCGTGAATTATACATGTAAATGCAAACTAACAGATATTGGGACTCAATCTAGATATTTTTGTTGTTCTCAACTATTGCTTTAATTGTAGCCTGGAATGCATATATAGCATACAAGGTTTCCATGCAATTGACATCCAGAGATAAATGAGTGCAGGCATGTGCCAATAATGTGCTGATGGCACAAGAGAGTGTGAAGTCTTCAACAGTGATGGATTCTCTGAGCTCCCTGTGCCCTGTCTGGCATTAGGGATATATATTGGTGTTCCTGTTGTGACCCTTGTTGATCTGTTACAGTGATGTGGATTACCCATTGTCATCATTCCTCTGTGGTACAGGTGTGTGCATGTTGAAGGCTGACAAATATTTGATACAGAGCTAATTTGACTAACTGACACGGAAACACAGTCCTGGCAATGTGTAGTTCAGCATGCGTGTGTTTTAGTTTTACTTTCAGGAGTGCAATTGCATTGTTTGTGAAAAGGAGACCTGTGCTCTTTTCTGGTTGTGCCTCCCAGAAATGTGAGTTGTGATTCCTTGAAATACAACATACAAAAATGCTTTGATAGAACTTTGGCGCTCTTTCACTTCCTGTGTAAATGCCCGTTAGACGTGGGTCAAATTAAGCTGTTAAATTGTGTTCCAATTGAGCTCAGTTAGTATGGAGAGTAAGAAATTCTAAACCTGGATTACCAGTTGTTGCCTTAGTTGGTTAGACTGAAGCGAACACCAGTACCATTCACGCATGTATTTCTCCTGTAGAAATGGTCGAATCAATGAAAAAAGTGGCTGGAATGGATGTGGAGTTGACAGTTGAAGAACGAAATCTGCTGTCTGTTGCATACAAAAATGTGATTGGAGCTAGAAGAGCTTCTTGGAGAATAATCAGCAGCATTGAACAGAAAGAGGAAAACAAGGGTGGAGAAGACAAATTAAAGATGATCCGGGAGTATCGGCAAATGGTGAGTTCTACAGAAGATGGAGATTACCTGTTCTAGTTTAGGGATAGTTGTAGGCTGTTGCCTGTCCTTCACCTCAAAAGAGCTATTATGTGGAAGGCTTTTAGGATGCCTACTGGGATATAAAGCTGCTTTGAGAATTAATGTTTGGTTTTGGATTGTAGAATGTAAATCAGCAACTGCGCAGTGTGTATAGGGTCTTTATTGGCCTTTACCAATAAGTTTTTGGTGCCCTGGGTGTCCTCTGGATTAATATAAACTTTCTGTTCTGGTCAGAGTAGCTGGTGACCTTTTCCCATGCTTCCCTTGTCCAAAGGCATCCATGATGCTCTATTAAGTTATTTACCAGGGAAGCTTTCACTGTATATGGATTGTACATTATTCCTGCTGTCTTCCTTCAACTGAAGGCCTGGTTGAACTCTGTATTGATCTGGGCTGCTTCCTGAAGGGTGGCTGGTTTGTGAGGCAGGTTCTAATTCAATGTATTAGCATCAAAGATGTAGAACCTGTGTAAATTGCAAAGCCATGGGGAAAAGCTAGAGTGTTTCTAGGTAACAGATTTTGGGTAAAATTGAAATATGTGCAATAAATTAAATCTAAACTTAGTAATTTAACAACCTAAAATATGTAATTTATTCCTTAGCACATAAAATGGCACTATATGTCATACTAATAGACTTAAAAGTATAATTGCCCTAGGAAAGCTAAAGAGATACCTAGTACCTGAGAGAGAGAGCTGCAGACCATTGCATCCTATGCTGTCTTAGCACATGTACCTTAATTTTAGGGATAGGGTAAAAAATGAAAGATAAAATTAGAAAATTTGTGAGAAAATGTATTGTTTGGCTCGAAAAAAGTTCATATGGTCACAATAGGACTTCCAGCATTTTCAGTGATCACGTTAAAATTTATAAGATAGCCACATATATATTCTTTAAAATATATACATCTACAGTATGCATTGGAATTATTGTCTAATATGTACTTTTATATAAACATTTTCATGCTACATATTTGGAGCCCTGTGATCCGCCTTGAGCCCACTTGTGGGGAGGGCAAAATATAAATCCGAAAAATAAATGAAATAATAAGTAAATAAAACTTAAGTTGAAAAGCATTTTATCCCATTTTTCATTGTTTTCCCAAGTCTCTAAATTTTTTTCCATTGGATACATTGGGGGAAAGTCATCAGGAAAACCTTTTTTCCCTGAATTTTCTCTCCTGCCCTTCATATCTGTGATAGGAATTATTACTACCCACTGCTATAGATTGTATTACGTAAAATGTCACAGAAGACATTTTGAGTGTGTAAAATGTTGTCTTAAAAAGCAGTTCATTCCTAAAACAAGAAAAGTTTCCTAATTTTTTCCCCAGTGCTCCCCATAACTTTCTATTTTGGGATAAATTAGGTGGAAGGTCCCCCCCC